CCATCGTGTCCTGATTCACGGTTCGGCTCGCCCATTCCCTTCCAGGATGGCGACGACCGTCTTATGCAGTACGATCGGCCCCTCAGCGCCATCGTACCTAGCTCACGTTCAGCTCGTCCATCCCTTCCAGGGTGGCGACGAACGTCTTATGCATCACGATCGGCCCCTCAGCGCCATCGTGTCCTGATTCACGGTTCGGCTCGCCCATTCCCTCCAGGATGGCGACGGCCGTCTTACGCAGTACGATCGGCCCCTCTGCGCCATCGTACCCAGCTCACGTTCAGCTCGTCCATCCCTTCCAGGGTGGCGACGAACGTCTTATGCATCACGATCGGCCCCTCAGCGCCATCGTGTCCTGATTCACGGTTCGGCTCGCCCATTCCCTTCCATGATGGCGACGACCATCTTATGCAGTACGATCGGCCCCTTAGCGCCATCGTACCTAGCTCACGTTCAGCTCGTCCATCCCTTCCAGGGTGGCGACGAACGTCTTATGCATCACGATCGGCCCCTCAGCGCCATCGTGTCCTGATTCACGGTTCGGCTCGCCCATTCCCTCCAGGATGGCGACGGCCGTCATACGCAGTACGATCGGCCCCTCAGCGCCATCGTACCCAGCTCACGTTCAGCTCGTCCATCCCTTCCAGGGTGGCGACGAACGTCTTATGCATCACGATCGGCCCCTCAGCACCATCGTGTCCTGATTCACGGTTCGGCTCGCCCATTCCCTTCCAGGATGGCGACGACCGTCTTATGCAGTGCGATCAGCCCCTCAGCGCCATCGTACCTAGCTCACGTTCAGCTCGTCCATCCCTTCCAGGGTGGCGACGAACGTCTTATGCATCACGATCGGCCCCTCAGTGCCATCGTGTCCGGATTCACGGTTCGGCTCGCCCATTCCCTCCAGGATGGCGACGACCGTCTTATGTAGTACGATCGGCCCCTCAGCGCCATCGTACCCAGCTCACGTTCAGCTCGTCCATCCCTTCCAGGGTGGCGACGAACGTCTTATGCATCACGATCGGCCCTTCAGCGCCATCGTGTCCAGATTCACGGTTCGGCTCGCCCATTCCCTCCAGGATGGCGACGACCGTCTTATGCAGTACGATCGGCCCCTCAGCGCCATCGTATTCAGCTCACGTTCAGCTCGTCCATCCCTTCCAGGGTGGCGACGAACGTCTCGTATGCAGCACGATCAGCGCCTCTGTGCCATCGTGTCTGGCTCATGTTCGGCTCGCCCATCCCTTTCAGGATGGCGACGAACGTCTCTTATGCAGCACGATCAGCGCCCCAGCGCCATCGTGTCTGGCTCACGTTAGGGTCGCCCATCCCTTTCAGGACGGCGACGAACGTCTCTTATGCAGTACGATCAGCGCTTCAGCGCCATCGTGTCTGGCTCACGTTAGGGCCGCCCATCCCTTTCAGGACGGCGACGAACGTCTCTTATGCAGCACGATCAGCGCTTCAGCGCCATCGTGTCTAGCTCACGTTAGGGTCTCCCATCCCTTTCAGGACGGCGACGAACGTCTCTTATGCAGCACGATCAGCGCTTCAGCGCCATCGTGTCTAGCTCACGTTAGGGTCGCCCATCCCTTTCAGGATGGCGACGAACGTCTCATATGCAGCACGATCAGCGCCCCAGCGCCATCGTGTCTGGCTCACGTTAGGGTCGCCCATCCCTTTCAGGATGGCGACGAACGTCTCTTATGCAGCACGATCAGCGCCCCAGTGCCATCGTGTCTGGCTCACGTTCGGGTCGCCCACTCCTTCCAGAATGGCGGCGAACGTCTCTTATGCAGCATAATTGGCCCCTCGGCGGCATCATGTCTAGTCCATCTTCGGCTCCGCCCATGCCATCCCGGATGGGGGACCCGTCTTGTGCAGCACGTCTGCCTCCCGGCGCTGACATGCCCGGTTTATCGATGAGAGCCACCGCTTTCTGTCACATCTCACATTCCTTCTCTCATACATTGCACCCATACATTACATGCATTCATGCATTCATGCATCATACCTCATACATTCATACATACACACGTGCATCATGTTTTGACAGTACCACGATGTCGGTTTGTAGATGCATGGACCTTAAGCTTCTCCGATTGGAAAGCTCGAGTCAGAGTGATTTATTCCCGCCTGATGCGTTCAGGGGGAGTGTGCCCGTGGAGGAGCACCCTTCGCCCGACCCCGTCGGGAAGGGGGGTGCCTCACCGGCAGACTACGTTCAGGAGTGTAGACACTCACTCATATATTATGACTATACGAAGACACAGGTTCCAGCTAGACAGAGGTAGAGCGCAGGCAAGAATATACTTTCTCGAGCAGATTCGCGCACTCACTACTCAAGAAACTGGTGGACTTGTGTTGGGATATATTATCCCGGCCTATTACTGTTCAGGAGCCCAAGACATTATCCAGTACGGAGCCTGAGCAGCTAGGTCCATTTCGGCCCATTCTGGCCCACTTTGGCCATTAGGCCCGACATCGGCCCGTTTGGCCCATTAGGGTGGAGTACTTCCCTCACCCCTTTCCCTATTTATAGGAGGTTTCCCTCCATGTAAAGGGATCCCTCTTCCTTAGCTTATTCTTCTTCCCTCTCTCTAGCTAGCTTACAATACTCCATTAATGGGAGCTCAAATTGTACAATGTAATGGTGAGGAGAGTCCTAATGAGAATGAGAGGGCTTGGACATTAGCCTTGTTGAAGTTTATTCCCGAAGATCCGAAAGCCCAACACAAGCCTTGGATATTGTAGGGATATTGGGTAGGGTTGAAATGTGTATAAAATATAAAATAGTGAGATAATATTCAACTCAAGAACTTACTTATATTCTGTAATTAAGCAATTACACTGGAACTACCCGAACGGTAGATGAATATGAGATTACAAGGATGGGAGATGTAAATCTATTGCTAAGCTCTGAGTATTAAAATGCTAACCCCTTTACAATGATCTAAACATGGGTATTTATACTAAAATAGGGATGGGCAAGGGGGCCACGTGGCCGAATCTGGTAGGCTGTCACCTCTGCTATGTAAGCACTCATGCCCCCACTTGCAGCCGCCATGATCCAGCATTAAATGCGGCCTCTACTTGCTGATTGCCCGTTCGGGCAAGGTGTTCGGTGTATGGCGTCCCCACCATAGGTGATCTTGTTATGGAAGTATCCCGAACGCCGATCGATATCTGGGCCTTGATACTTTGGCATAATTGTTTCCCGGAACGTTCCAAGTATAAGTTTTATCCCGAATGCCGTTCGGGAGTTCTTTGGACTGCCTTGGGCCCGCTGCTTCTTCCCGGATTTGGGCCTAGGGATATTGGGCCTGGACCTAATATCCCAACACTAGTCCCCCACTTCCTATGTCTCGAACGGTAGTGAGTGCATAAGGAAGTAGAAGCTTTATCCCGAATGCTGTTCGGCTTAATATCGGATCGTATTCCGCCGGTTCCCGAGGCATATTCTGACGGCTATTTGCAACTGCCGTTTCACTTCTCCGATAAACGTCATGATTACTTGAGAAGGGTTATCCGCGTGACACGTGTATCCGTCATTATTACAAAAAACGTGTCCTCTTCTGATTGACAACTGAATCGGCGTGACAGAGTATAAATAGGCCTTTCTGGTTTTGATTCTGGGTTTCGAAACTTTGCACCTCCGGCTTATAATTCATCCTTCTCTCTAGAGCTTCATCCGCAGCTTCTGTTCAGGTATCCTTCGAGTTCAATTCTACTGTTTAGTTCCCTCGTTCGGTGAGAATGGCACCCCTTCGTTCATCTGAACCCTCTACCTCCGGCACTGTAATTCCAGAAGAAAACCCCAACGATATGCTGCAAGTTGTCCGTATTCCGGCGGAGGTTAACGGCGATGATTCCTCTTCCTCCGATGTTTACCCTGATGGCACCAAATCGGGGGATGAATTGGAAGTTATGGAAGCCGTCCCTCCAAGCGGCGTTTCCTGTCATAAGCTTGACCTAGCTCTTATTAGGCTTATGCGCCAAAAGCTCACGGCCCAGAATCGGGCCCAAATTCAGATGCTAATTCCTGATTCGGTGGACTTTTGCCTTCAATCGGGTCTTCACCCAATGCGCCACTTCCCAGGGATGGTTGTGGTCCATTTCGACTCAATCAAGGCTGGTCTTAGATTCCCACTTCACCCCTTTTTTGTCTCCCTTTTAAATTTTTACAATGTAGTGCCAGCCCAAATAATGCCGAACTCCTACCGGTCGATAGCTGGTTTCATTTGTCGTTGCCACAGTGTCAAGGTCACACCCACCCTAGAACTTTTCCACTATTTCTTTTCAGTTATCCCCCAGCAGTCCCACGGCTTTCTGGTGGTAAGCTCCCGACCAGGACACATTTTGTTCTGCGATGCCCCTTCTTCCATCAAAGGTTGGAAAGATAGGTTCTTCTTTGTCTCTGTACCGAACGGTTTGATTCCTAGGAAGTGGAACGCATTCCCTCCTAAATCCCCCGAGCCATTCATCTCCGAAGAGCTTAGCAGAGATGTCATTGCTGTGGAGGCAGGAGGCTGCTTCAAAATTATGTCTTACCTGACTCCCGAACGGCTAATTAAGGCCGGGATAGGTACTGCCCGTATTCCTGGACTTACTTGACTGAAAAACCAAGTACCATGGCCCGGGCGGTCCTTCCCGTGTGACATAATTTTTTAATCCACGTGTGAACCGCTCGGTACTAATTTGTTCCTTTTGTCTTTTCAGCTCCAAAGCAAGGCGAATCTTCAGATTCCGAAGGAGCCAATCCCGAACAACCGGCCATGGATGATAGTAGGCTATTCACTGCTGGACTTGATGACGAGCCACCAACTTCTCCTCCCAAGCAGCAGAGGAAGACAAAAAGAAAGAGGTTGAGGAAGGCCGATCAGGGCGCCTCCTCTCAATCCGCCCCTCCCGTCCCCGAGCAGTCTGAACCTGTTCGGGATGTAGAACCTGTGCAGCAGGTTGCCCCTGAGCAGCACACTCACGCTGACACGCTGATGGATCAGCTTTTTTCTGACCAGCAGTCCCACCATTTCTCTGCTGAGGAGGTGGCTGCCCATCAGGCTGACCTGGCTAGTCAGTTCGAGCGGATCTCCCTCTATGATCCTGCTCATGAAATGCTGGAGAGGGGTGGCTGTCCAGCGAGCCAGATCTGGTCCACCTCTGGTTTCCTCAATGGACACAACCTTCCCCCAATACCGGTGGAGGAGATCGAGGAGTGCATTGCCCTGACTGTCCTGAAGGTAGCTTCTTGTTCATAATTTACTTTTACCTTTTTCTTCGTTTTGTCAGCTTATCATGTGCTCATACTTTTCTTTTTGATCATTAGGCAGGGATATACAGCCTGAAGCTCAAGGAGACCAGGCAGGCCAAGGAACAAGGCTTGCTGATGGCCAAGGAAACGGCCGAACAGGCAGCAGAGGCCGAACGGCGGGCTTTTGCTGAGGAGCGGAAGAAGCTAGAAGCCGAGGCAGGGGAGCTCCGTGTTAAAGTGGGCGCTCTCCAAGCCAAGATTGCAGCAGCTGAGGCTGCTCAGATCAAATTCTCTGAGGCTCCCCCTCAGATCCCGGACGGACCGGCCGAAATGAAAGTTGATCTTTCCGCCGTTCGGGATTCCTTCAAGGCTTCAGAGGAGTTTCTGGCTCTGAAGGAGAAGTATGCCACCGAACAGCTCCCCGCTGTCTTCGGGAGGCACTTGGAGAAAGTGGCTGGAGAGGAGCGCCAGAAGGAGGGGATCAGGGTGCTTGATCAGCATCCTGTCACCAAGGAGTGGGCTGATATCCTTGCCCGGGGGATCTACAGTTCAGGCTGCCAACATATGCTCCAGCCTCTCCTCCCCCTCCTAGAAAAGTATATGGGCCGATCAGTGCAATCCTCCGACTTTCCCTCTGATCTCCATCCGGGTCATCTGAACGCCCTGATGGCACAGATGAAAAAGTGCCGGCGAGCCCTGGGGATGGAGGTCGTGCAGATTGTAGATGAGGCTGATGAAGACGATGATGAAGACGATGAAGATCATCCCGAACAATAGATTAGACATTATCTGTATTTCCTTTCCTTTGAATCAGTAGTTTTTGTACTTTCCGGCCAGTAGAGCCGATGAATATACAACTTTTGCTTGCTCATTTCGTCTTTGTGACTTTTACTGTACTTTATATTTGTTTTTCACCTATCAATTCGCCTCCGCAATAGGTTTCATGTTGCTTTGTTCGGGTGATCTCCATAATCTGAAGCGATCAGGTCACCTGTTCGGGTGAACTCCTTGTTAAATCCAGAATTCAGGACTTAATAATCTTGTTAACGCATGTTGTTCATAATGAACCCGTCCAGTCTGTACTTATGATCTTAATATAAGACCCTAGTGCCCTTTTCATTCGTTCGTAAGCTTTCATTCTGACTAGTTGGAAATTGTGTCCGGTATTCGGGATGTATTTTTGCTCTCTTTGTTGCATCTGTCATATTCTTTCATGTTAGATAACCATACTGTTCGGGTACGCCCATCATTTTTACCACCGTTATAAATTTCCTTCCTGTTCGGGGAAACGCTTGTAGCCCTTTTCTTTTATCCCGTTCGGGGAGACGTTTTTAGAGGTTCGTGAACTTTGCTGATTTCAACCCCGTTCGGGTGTTCACCCACCCCAAAGGATGCTTTAACTTCTCTCAATCGTCTTGACACGTGTCTATTATTCATTCGAATTCCTGGCGGTAGCATTTCCTTATATAAGGATGCAGCTACTTTGTTTCAGTTTTTTCTGCTGCTTCTGAATTCCTTCAAGTTTTCTCTCTCTAGAATTTTCTCCGTTATTCTATGTCTGCCTTTTCTGGTTCGTCAGACTCCGAAGAGATGGCACCCACTTTGATTCGCCTTTCAAGGGGAAAAGCTCACCCCAAAGATCAAGGTACATCTACCCGATCGTCGGGTTCTAACGGGTCTTCTGCCTCACTTCATCCCGAACAGCCCCTCCCTGATGATGGATGTCAGTCGGGAGATGACCTAGCCATCTATAATAAGGGCATGCCTGAACGGCCCCCCCCCATTATAGTCTGAACTTTCATTGCATCAGGAAGCAACGTCAACGCCTTCCTGCTGATGCAGAACAGACGCTCCGCCAATTACTACCTCCACCCCGTCAGTTCAATGCGGGGTTCATCAAACATCCCATGCGACACCGTCCGGGATGTGTGTTGGTGCACATGGATGCCTTGGTTGCTGGTTTGCGGTTCCCTTTGCACCCGTTCGTTGTGGAGTTCCTCCGCCGGGTATCAGTATTGCCGGCACAGTTCGTGCCTAGCACCTACAGGATCCTGAATGGGTTCATTGTCTGGTGCCACGACCTGGGAATTGCCCCCAACGTGGACCTCTTTTTGCACTGTTATGGCATCCAGCCTTACTGGACCACTGGGTATTTGCGGCTTGTGGCCCGTCCTGGCCGTTCGCTTTTCACCGACAACCCCACCCCTCCGGAAAAATGGGAGGAAAGATTTGTGTTTGTATTCGTGGGGTCGCCGCTTCCCTTCCCTGATCGGTGGAACACCTACCCCGTTCAGGACGCCTCCCCAAGGGTGGATGCAGCTATTCTCTGCCAGTACGAAAGGCTCCGTCTGGCCGGTTCCAAGAACCTACGGTCTTTCTTGACTCCCGCTAAGATGCTAGCTGCTGGCATCGGTATGATTCTTCCATTACTTTGCTCGTTCGGTATATTTTTCAATATCTTGTTCATTTTTCTTTGTTCTTCCCTGTAGGTGTGATTCCCCCCGTCTCCATAAAGCGTCCTGCTCCTACTCCTTCCTCCACCGCCATGGTCAGCAAGGGAAAGGAGAAGGCTATTCAGTCAGGTCCTTTGGCTGGCCGGGAATCTGGGCCAGTAAACAAGCGGCCGAGAATCGAAAGCAGCGGCGCCTTGGTCCCGATCGATCAGGTCATTGATCTGACGGATCCTTCTGTGGAAAGGATGCCTATGGTCCCCTCCCCTTCAAGGAAACTGGGCAACAGGGGAGGTGTTGCTTCAGATAGTCTCCCAATCCCCGATCGGTTGACGGTGGAGTTTTCCGCCATGGGTCCCCGAGCCGAATGCCGGACGCTGTTCGGGCAGACTGCATCCTCCATGTGGTGCAGTACTTCCTTGAAGGCTGGCGAGGGCTTCACCAACTTGACCCATTGGTCTGATTTGGTCGAAGCAGGCCACGCTGAGTCCCTTAAGGTATGCCCTTGACTGTTCAGTTCTTTCTTCTTATAACATTTTTTGGACTTGTTCTTACTGCTGTTTCTTTTTCCACAGGCCGGTACATACTATCACCGGGCCTTCCTAGCAGCTGAACGGGAGATGACCCTCCTTCATCAGGAGCTGGACGAGAGCCAAACCCTTTTGGCCGCTGCTAGGAAAATGGCTGCAGATCTCCAAGATCGAGCCAACAAGGGTGACAAGGCCAGGGCTGAATTGGCCGAACTGGAGCAGAGGCTCCAGCGTCGCGATCGGGAGATCCGGGCGCTGAAGGACAAGATTGCCGCTGCCGAAGCCGCTGGTGTCAAGTTCAAAAAGACCCAGCCTAAAGAGGGCGGACAGCCAGCAGCACCCGTTCAGGCCGATATTTCTAGAATCACTCAGCAGGCAGTGATTGATTTCCAACGGGGTAAAGGTTTGAACGTAGCTCTGGAGGAGACTGCCCGGGAGTTCCTTGGAAAGCATCTTGGGGAGTTCTTGAAGAAGAGTAAGGATCCTCTTCGTGATGGCCTCCAGCTCCTGGATGAGACCCCGTCCGGGACTGCATTTGCTAATGCTCTGGCGAGAGACACCCTTGTTAAGTGTCAGGATATGCTGGTCGACCGGAACCTGGAGGTGATCAAGGAGTCTTCTGACGAACCCTTCGACCCCAAGGAGGAAGGTTTTGATCCGTTATTCTGCCGTGCTTATCAACGTGTAATGGAGAAGAGGCGAAAAGCCAGGGACTTAGCCAATCCCTCGAACGCCAACTCGGATGCCGTGCCGAACAAGGATCCTCCCGTAGCTTAGTTATCCCTGTTGTACTCCTCCTTTTCTTCTTCTCATGTGTAATTCCCGGTCAGTAATGCCGAAGAATAAAGATTGATCCATCTCCGAATATAGTTGTCTTCCAAGCATTTTTTTTATAAGTCAGCATCATCATTAAGATTCAAGCCGTTCGGCCCGTTCCTAGCACCAAAGTTGAGGTGCAGGCTTGTTGCGCCCTCGAGCACCATGTTTCAGATGCATGCCGTCCGGTTTATTACCGTCGACTGGTTGTTCCCTGAACGCGCAAGTCCTCATTTAATGCTTGCTGCGCCCCCGAGCACCATGTTTCAGATGCATGCCGTCCGGTTCATTACCGTCGACTGGTTGTTCCCTGAACGCGCAAGTCCTCATTTAATGCTTGCTGCGCCCCCGAGCACCATATTTCAGATGCATGCCGTCCGGTTCATTACCGTCGACTGGTTGTTCCCTGAACGCGCAAGTCCTCATTTAATGCTTGCTGCGCCCCCGAGCACCATGTTTCAGATGCATGCCGTCCGGTTTATTACCGTCGACTGGTTGTTCCCTGAACAAACAAGTCCTCATTTAATGCTTGTTGCGCCCCCGAGCACCATATTTCAGATGCATGCCGTCCGGTTCATTACCGTCGACTGGTTGTTCCCTGAACGCGCAAGTCCTCATTTAATGCTTGCTGCGCCCCCGAGCACCATGTTTCAGATGCATGCCGTCCGGTTTATTACCGTCGACTGGTTGTTCCCTGAACGCGCAAGTCCTCATTTAATGCTTGCTGCGCCCCCGAGCACCATGTTTCAGATGCATGCCGTCCGGTTTATTACCGTCGACTGGTTGTTCTCTGAACGCGCAAGTCCTCATTTAATGCTTGCTGCGCCCCCCGAGCACCATGTTTCAGATGCATGCCGTCCGGTTTATTACCGTCGACTGGTTGTTCCCTGAAGGCTAAACTAACTTGTTTGGGTTATCATCCGCGTTTTTCCTTATCCGCAAGGCAATCACCTCTTGCTGCAAGACAGTTTCACAATTCGTGTAGTGTCTGCCATCTTCCAAACCCATAATTCCGATGCATACCGTCGGTTTTACCGTCCGGGGTCATCCATATCATGAGGTTGAGATGTCCATCCTGGACCATTGAGAATAAGGCTCCCAATCCGGGTCTCCCCCTTATTCTCTGCCAAAATAGAGACTCGCCTCCAGGATACAGCTCGGGTTCCACCACCATAAGGTTCGGGCGAGCTGTATGGCCAAGGCAAGATTTTAAGACCAGAGTCCCGATCCCCCGCTCGGTCACCATATGACTTCGGATGCCGCCCGGTTCGTCCTACTCAAGATCTTTTACACCATCTCCCAAGCTGAGTCCGGGCTTGGTTATCCTGCACATTGTACTATTTTTTTTTTTTTTTTGTGCTGAGATGATGGCTCCCCATGGATCGAGATGAATGACATCTATAGATCAAGGTGAGACTTTTGGCCGAGTTTGTGGTGATGCCGTTCGGCTTGTTGATGCCGTTCGGCTCGCAATATTCCTCTTAACTCTGGCCTCTTTGGAAGCATTGTTCTCCCTTTTTTTTTTTTAGAGGTGGCAACAGCCGTTTTTATTGATAAAATTTCCGCAAGTGCGTAGCGTTCCATATCCCTGCCGGACAGCCTTCGGTATCCTGTAGGGAAAAGGTCCCCATCCGGTACGGTATTTTTTCCAGACCCGGTATGGTCCCTCCCAATTCTTTGACATCTTCCCGCCCTCTAGCGGTTTGCTTTTCTCTCTATTCCTCAGGACAAGGTCTCCGACTTCAATCGAACGGATTTTAGCCTGTTTATCCACATACCTCTTAGTCGCCCGGTGATATTCTTCCATTCGTAAAGCTGAGAGATCCCTTCTTTCCTCTATGAAGTGGAGTTCAGCACGCAGATTGTCCTCATTCTGCTCAGGATCATAGTGGATGGTTCTGTGAGTGGGCACCAAGACCTCAGTTGGGACCTTAGCCTGAAATCCATAAGCGAGGGCGAACGGTGTCTCCCCGGTTGCTGTTCGGGGAGTTGTCCTGTATGTCCACAAGACGTAGTTTAACTGCTCGGGCCAGGTTGACGTGTAATCTTCGAGCTTCTTTTTTATACCATCCATGATGGTTCTGTTCATGTTCTCTACCTGCCCGTTCGCCTGCGGATATGCTACGGAAGCTCTTGAATGCTTGATTCCCCATCTAGTGAGGAATTCCTCGAAGTTCTTGCTCACAAACTGCCGTCCATTATCCGTGATGACCTGCTCGGGGAGCCCGAATCTGCATATAATATTTTGCCAAACAAAACGTTGACATTGAAAATCCGTGATACTGGCCAGGGGTTCGGCTTCCACCCATTTGGTGAAGTAATCAATCCCCACTATGATGTACTTCCTTGCTCCGGACGCATTAGGTAGGGGCCCTAGCAAGTCAATCCCCCACCTAGCGAATGGTAACGATATGGTCATCGGGGTGTAAAAAGTTGCAGGCCGCCCGGGTACTGGTGCGTAAAGCTGGCATACCTTGCACTTCCTTGTGTGTTCGAAACAATCCTGTTGAATCGTTGGCCAATAGTACCCCTGCAGGATGATTTTCCTGGCCAGGGTCTTTGGTCCCTGATGGCTGGAGCAGATGCCTTCATGAATTTCTTCCATCACAGTTGCCGCCTGAACGGGGGGAAGGCATTTCAGATATGGCCCCCCGAACGTCTTTTTGTACAGCTGTCCGTCCACTAGTTCGAACATGGGGGCCCTTCGCTGTATACAAGTGAGGTTGTACACGTCATTTTTATCGTTCGGCAAAGTCCCATCCTTCAGGTAATTTGTCAAGTCAGTGACCCAGCTTGGGACGGCATAGGACACGGCATCTACCCGCACAACCATTGTTGCCGGTGTGGTCAGTGTTTCTCTCTGCGCGAACCTCTGGATGTGTGCAGGAATGCCTGGGGCATGATCATCCCGAACGGCACATTCCAGTTTGGATAGGATGTCCGCCTCACTGTTTTCGATTCTGGGAATCTGGTCAACCACCACCTGTTCGAACCTGCCGATTTCTTCCTCAACCAGTTCCTTGTAGGCTTTTAGCCGTTCTTCCCTAACTTCGGCAGATCCATTAATCTGGCTTACCACCAGCTGACTATCCGAACGGACTTTTAATCTGCTGGCCCCCAGGGCCTTGGCATACTTTAATCCAGCAATGAGGGCTTCATACTCGGCCTCATTATTGGTTACCTTGAAGTCAAACTGTACGGAGTAGTATGCCTTGAACCCCTCGGGGCACGTGATCACAGCACCCCCACCACAGCCTTTGTTACTGGATGCTCCATCCACATACATTTCCCACCAATGGTCATGTACTTCTCCGTCCGCTCCTTCTTCAGTTGATCTGGCAGTGCATTCGGCAATGAAGTCAGCCAAAGCCTGTCCCTTGATCGTAGGGCGAGGCTTAAAGTCTATTTCATACTGCCCGATCAGGAGGGACCACTTGGTGATACGCCCACTTGCCATAAGATTTCTCAGTATGGTGGCCAGGGGCTGGGTAGTGTAGATGGTGACTGGGTGTGCCTGGAAATAGGGTGTCAGTCGCTTGATGGTAGCAATCAATGCTAAAATGGTTTTTTCCATTAAGGTGTACCTGGTTTCTGGCCCGTTCAGGGCTTTGCTCACAAAGTAAATAGGGCGCTGAACACCCTCATCTTCCTTTAATAAAACAGAGCTGACCGCCAGATCAGCCACAGCCAGATACATATAGAGATGTTCCCCTGGGTCTGCTTTAGTTAAGACCAGGGGGGAAGACAGGTACAATTTGAACTCTTCAAAAGCTGCCTGACATTCTGCTGTCCATTCGAACGGGTTGGCCTTCTTCATTATTTGGAAAAATGGAATGGCACGATCGGCCAGTTTAGCCATAAATCGGCTCAAAGCCGCTAATCTTCCGGTCAACTTCTGAACTTCTTTCAAGTTCCGCGGTGCCTCCATGTCCATGATTGCCTTTACTTTCTCAGGATTAGGCTCAATCCCCCGCTCGCTCATCATATAACCCAAAAATTTGCCCCCCTTGACTGCGAAGGCGCACTTTTTTGGATTCAGTCTCATGTTGGCCTTCTGCATGATCCCGAAGACCCTTTCCATGTCCCGGACATGATCCTCCTTCTTCCTGCTCTTGATTAGGATGTCATCCACATATGCTTCCATGGTTACTCCTAGCACCTCTTTGAAAAGCATGCTGATCATTCTCTGGAAGGTAGCCATGGCATTTTTCAACCCGAACGGCATGACGATGTAGCAGAACACACCGTCCGAGGTAACGAACGCCGTTTTCTCTGCGTCATCCGGGTGCATGAAGACTTGGTGATAACCCCGGAATGCATCCATAAAGCTCAGCAGTTCACACCCTGCTGTCTCGTCTACCAGCAGGTCTATTCGAGGGACATGATAGGGGTCCATGGGGCATGCTTTGTTCAGGTCGGAGTAGTCCACACACATTCTCCAAGTAGATCCTTTTGGAGCAAGGACCACATTAGCCAACCATTCGACATGGACGACTGGTCTAATGTGCCTGATTCTTAGTAAGGTGGCTACCTCCTGCCTTGTGAATTCCCGCCGTTCGGCCGCCTGATATCTTTTCTTCTGTTGGACTGGCCTGGCATCAGGCCGAACAGCCAACTTGTGGCATATGAGGGCCGGGTCAATTCCCGGCATGTCTTCGGGTCCTCGGGCAAATAGGACCTGGAATCTCTTCAGGACAGCGATCACCCCCTCCCTGATTTTCCCTTCAAGGTCCACCCCGATCGCAATCTTACGATCGGGAGGGGAATCAAGCTCGATGTATTCTAGGAGGGTGGCTGGCTCGGGGCCTCCCTCGAACTCCGTACGCCGGGTCTGCACCTCAATGCTGTTTACCCGCTGTCCCCGGGTGGTCATTTGTTTCAAAGCCTCCCGGTAGCACGTTCGGGCTATGGCAGGATCTGTTCGGGCCACTCCTACACCAGTGTCAGTTGGGAATTTGATGCACGAGTGTCGAACAGAGGCAATTGCCTCCAAATCTTCTAGCCCCGGACGGCCCAATATGGCGTTGTGGGCACATGCAATATCCACCACCACAAACGTCATCCGGACTGCCGCTCGGTGAATTTCATCACCAATTTCCACCAGAAGCTGGATGGTGCCCTCAGCCTCTATTACATTGCCGGTGAAGCTAGCCAGCGGCGTCTTCAGCTTGGTCAGCTGGTCCTTCTTCAGCTTCATCTTCTCCAACGTGCGTAAATACAGCACGTTCACACTACTTCCCGTGTCCACCAGAACTCGGTGGATCAAGGCGTTGTCTATACACATACTCACCACTAGCTCGTCCCTGTGCGGACTTGGTGAGTTGGGTAGATCAGCCACCCCGAACGTAATTGGCTCCAAGCGGCCCTTCTTTGTGGGAGGTGCAGCTACAGTGGCAACATAGAGGCTGCGTTCAAATTTCTTACGTTCGGCGGTCGTATCCCCGGTCTCTCCTCCACCAAAGATGACTTTCACCTCCAATCGTGGCTTTTTTCCCGGATTCCCAGACCCCTCAGCCTCCTCTATAGGGGGAAGGTATGAATCATTACTGGGTTCTGCGTCCCGCTCGACATCCCGCTTCCAGCTATTGGTTGGGGGAAGGGCTGTTCAGGTTGGTACTGACATACTTCCTCAGGTAGCCCTTTTGGATCAGGTCCTCAATTGCCACATGTAGGGCGTGGCAATCCTTCGTGAGGTGCCCATTCCGCTGGTGGTATCTGCAGTAGGAGCTTGGGGTAGGTCCCATCACGGGCCTTGTGTCAGTAGGGGGAGGAATGGCGTTGTGTTCCAAATGGAAAACACCAGCTATAGACATGACCAGGGGGTGAAGCGCGTAGTCCTTCGATGAGGCGCTGCAGCCGCTGGTGTGGGTCCCAAACGTTCTGCCAGTCTTGAAGTGGGAGGTTGCGGGGCCGTTCGGTCCCTTATCCTGATCTCTTCTTCCAGGGCCGCATGGTTCCTGGCCCTTTCCAGGATGTCTGGGTAGCTGGTCCCCGGATTTCTCTTCAGTTCCCTGTATAAATCTCCCGTCTGAAGGGCATCTGTAACACTTGAGATTTAATATAAACGGATTAATAGTACTACTCATACCAACAGAGGTGCATCTCCTTTTAAGGGAGCTCATTACCCAAGAACTCCAAAGTTAAGCGTGCTCGCACGGGAGTAGTCTTGGGATGGGTGACCCCCTGGGAAGTTTCTCAGGGCGCGCATGAGTGAGGACAAAGTGCGCGGTAAAGGCTTGTGGTGGTTTGTGAGGACAGTACTATTGGTCCGGAGTAACTACCTTGGGTCCGTTGGGGCCGGGGTGTTACAGGTGGTATCAGAGCAACCCTGCGACAGTGTGCTGATCCGTTGGATATCGGGCAGACACCTAGCAGGGGGAAAGATTCTGGGATTTGATTGAGATTGGTTTAAGGGCGCAACGAGGACGTTGCGATCCTAAGTGGGGGTGATTGTAACACTTGAGATTTAATATAAACGGATTAATAGTACTACTCATACCAACAGAGGTGCATCTCCTTTTAAGGGAGCTCATTACCCAAGAACTCCAAAGTTAAGCGTGCTCGCACGGGAGTAGTCTTGGGATGGGTGACCCCCTGGGAAGTTTCTCAGGGCGCGCATGAGTGAGGACAAAGTGCGCGGTAAAGGCTTGTGGTGGTTTGTGAGGACAGTACTATTGGTCCGGAGTAACTACCTTGGGTCCGTTGGGGCCGGGGTGTTACAGCATCGGTGAAAAGAAGGATGGCAGTCTCATCTGTCATGCCGGTCACCTTCAGGGTTTCAGTCCTCCACCTGGTGACGAACCCGGAAATTGATTCCTTCGGTCCTTGTCTCACACTGGTCAGATACCCGAAATGCAGCTTCGGGGTTGTGCTGGAGGCGAACTGGGCCAAGAATAAGGTGGATAGCTCTGCAAAGCTTCCGATCGATCCGGGTTGCAATGTTCCGAACCATTCCTGGGCTGGTCCCCGAAGGGTGCTGAAGAACAGCCTGCATATTGCCGCGTCGGTGGCCCTTAGCAGCATGAGGCCACCCTGGTAACTCCTCAGGTGTACGTGGGGATCTCCCACCCCGTCGTATGTTAAGCCGGTCGAGGGACGGCAGTCCTTCAGGATTTCGGCGTTCATGATTTCCCTAGTAAAGGGAGATGTGATCCCAACCCGTGCTGGCGAGGTTTGTTGGGGCGTCCGATTGACCTGCTCTCTCAGCTCAGTCATCTGTCTTCTCATTTCGTCCATTTCGTCGTCTTGGGCCGTTCGGGGAGTGTGTGGTATCCTAGCATCCACATATTCCGGTATTCTGTTTTGGGGAGGGGCAGTTGTGTTAGCCCTCCTCCGGATGAAGCGTTCCCCATCCCTCTGGATATACTGGAAGTGTTGTCCAACGGGATCTACCATGGGGGTAGGTTCCCTATATCCGTTTCGAGGGGCGGACGGGGTTCGACTGGTTGGTGCTTCACGTCTGGGGGTATGGGCCCTCCAGTGGTTCCTGCGGTGTTCCTCGGAATGAACTGAGGCCATCGTGGTCTCAATGTCCTCCTCTTCGTCGAAAGATGGCATGGGACGCAACGGGGATGGTGGCTCACGAGTTTCATCGGTGTAGCCCTGTTCCTGTTCGTCCGCCATGCGTTGCATGGCCTCCGCCATCTCCCTCATCAACTGAGGGTTCATCCTTACATCCCGGGGGATGATTTGCTCGAACTCCCGGGTGGCACTGCCACTAGCGTGTCCTTGCATGGACCACCCCTCAGAGGATCTATTGCCTCCTCGGACTCTGGATGTAGAACTCGGTGTTGCGGTAGTAAGTCTAGCCATTTTCAAGAAAAAATGGTGCTTAGATCACGGCTTTGTCTGGACTTTTAGTGTGGTTTCCCACAGACGGCGCCAATGTTTAAGTTTATTACCGAAGATCCGAAAGCCCAACACAAGCCTTGGATATTGTAGGGATATTGGGTAGGGTTGAAATGTGTATAAAATATAAAATAGTGAGATAATATTCAACTCAAGAACTTACTTATATTCCGTAATTAAGCAATTACACTGGAACTACCCGAACGGTAGATGAATATGAGATTACAAGGATGGGAGATGTAAATCTATTGCTAAGCTCTGAGTATTAAAATGTTAACCCCTTTACAATGATCTAAACATGGGTATTTATACTAAAATAGGGATGGGCAAGGGGGCCACGTGGCCGAATCTGGTAGGCTGTCACCTTTGCTATGTAAGCACTCATGCCCCCACTTGCAGCCGCCATGATCCAGCATTAAATGCGGCCTCTACTTGCTGATTGCCCGTTCGGGCAAGGTGTTCGGTGTATGGCGTCCCCACCATAGGTGATCTTGTTATGGAAGTATCCCGAACGCCGATCGATATCTGGGCCTTGATACTTTGGCATAATTGTTTCCCGGAACGTTCCAAGTATAAGTTTTATCCCGAATGCCGTTCGGGAGTTCTTTGGACTGCCTTGGGCCCGCTGCTTCTTCCCGGATTTGGGCCTAGGGATATTGGGCCTGGACCTAATATCCCAACAAGCCTAAAAAGTCCCGTGGTTTTCTCCCTTTCCGGGTTTCCACGTAAAAATAGTTTGTTCATACACATTTATACATATATTTACTATATCGTGTTGGATTAAACTCAACACCACTGTAGATTACAAATTTGCATACATGGAGTCAGGGATGTAGCCAGGTCATAGAAGAGAGGGTGGGCCAGATTTCAACAAAACAGTACCAGCTAAACTGAAAAAGTTAATTGAACTCAACCGTCTTTCACTTTACCAAACTAATCAATAATAGAATCTATACTTATTTCATGAACGAGATCTCTTTGAATGAAAATGGTCAAACTATCACTCAGAATGCAATGTTGTTTTGGCTTTCTTGGAAGGATGTTGTTGAGTGGCCATGATTTTCTATGAAATTAAATTATGTAATATTTCAATAAAATTTAATAACCATTAAAACTTAAATCTAAGTAAACAAACAATTTAAAAGATTTTCTTTATACTTTTGGATTGGAAACTATAACATTAACTCCTACAAAGTATAACCTAAAAACTGCTAAATCAATACATCTATCGTATTGAGTGATCTCAGTCCAACAATTTCGATTTTTTAATAGCATACCAACAAATAGCAATACTAATATAATACAGTTTTGAATTTCATGCTCGACAAAGTAACAAATATAAAATAAAAACACATAGTCATATAATGATACCTACAGTTTAGCAATTATGAGCTGAACAAATCAAGAAATTAATTAAACATAATTTTAGAAATCAGTGTTAGAAAATACTAGTAATACCTTAAAATCGCAGATAAAAATGGAGATTAGGAATTGAAGTCACTGATTTACTTCATTCATGCGAGAGCTTCAATTTTCTTTAGATGTTTGTTTTTGTTCGTGGAATTATTCTCTGTCACAGACTAGAAGGAGCTCAGATGCTAATTGCGAATGAAGATCAGAGGTTTGGCCGTTTGGGACTTTCGGCTGATCAGAGGTTCTTTATCTAGACAGCGTATATTCAACATCAGTAATGTCAAATTCGAATAAAAATTTAAACTTTCAACATAATCCCTAAGTATCAAAATTTTAACTTTAGTTTACCATAAAAGTAAGAAGCCGAAGGTTTTTAAAACTGAGACAGTGAAACCTGTAGCGAAAGCTTTCGGTAGCGGACGTTTGGCTAAGCCCAGGTCGCAATATAGCTTTGGAGAGATAGACGGAAGAAGAAGATAGTGACAAGGGCCTTGTTTGCAACCACATGTGTTTAAATAAAAGCACTTTTTGATAAAAAGTTGTTATGATAAAAGTTGGTAGTGTTTGGTAAAATAAGTGTTGTTTGTGTAATAGAAAAAGTAAAAAGTAGATTGTACACGGAAGCCGAGAAAGTAAAAATTGGTAGTGTTTGGTAAAATAAGTGATTTTTTCTTTTAAAAAAGCCAAAATCACTTTTCTTAAGTGGTTGCAAACAAAGCTTTAGTTGGTTGTGTCAACTGTTTCCTAACAGCTGGTTGTGTTAACTGTTTTGACCGGCTGGTTATGTTAGCTGTTTTGACCGGCTGGTTATGTTAGCTGATAGATAACTGTTTGGTAAAATTGGTTGTTTCGAAATGGCTGATAGAGTTTAAATTTAACCAGCCGAATGAAGAAGCTGCTCCCCTTAACTTCTTCAACAATCAATTTTTTCAGCTTTTCAAACTCAACAAGCTAATTTTAAAAGCCATTTACCAAACATCATTATTAGCTTCTTTGACCAATCAAACAGAAATGGGTCAAACAAGACGGCTGATAAGTCATTTGCCAAACATACCCTTCGTGGGTTTGGTTTTTAGTCCTTTTGCTTCCAAAAGGGTTAGGGTCTGTTATGGAAGGAGGATAAATATAATTCCCTGAAGCACCCTTCGTGGGTTTGGTTTTTAGTCCTTTTGCTTCCAAACGGGTTAGGGTCTGTTATGGAAGGAGAATAAATATAATTCCCTGAAGCAGGGATCATGTGTGCCTTACACAGAGCATGTACTAAATATTTTAAAAGGCTCAAAATATACCAGTAAAAAACTACTCCGTATTATAATACAAAATTTATTCTATTAATAAATATGCCCTTTGATGTAATTTCACATTATTCCAAAACTTTTCAGTTCTTTTGCCAAATAGATCTACTTCATTCAGTTAGTGATTCAGATTCAACATTTCAGAATCCAGTTCCAGACAATAAGGGCCTGTTTACTAACAGAGATATTTTCCAGTTTTCTAGAAAACTGGAAAACTGGAAAACAGAAAACAGGAAACGTGTTTACCAAAGAAATTCCTGGAAAACTGGAGAAAGGAAAAAAGAAAAACGCGTTTACCAAACCGTTTTCCAAAACGGAAAAAATGAGACATGTCTCTCTTTTCCTTAATGATTTGGAGAAGTGACTTTTACTAGTTTTCCAAATTTGGAAAACAAAGATGCTGCAATGCCGCTGCAATGAATTTGCATACTTACACCTAGTGGTGGGTCCGGTCCCTGTGACACTCCAAAAAAAAAAAAAAAAAAAAAAAAAAAAAAAAAAAAAAAAAAAAATTTAAATGAAATAAAATAATTAAACAGGAAAAATTTAACGTGTGAGAAAAGTGACATTTCTATGTTAGTCAAATGAAAGGTTGACTTAAATGTTAAAAAAAAAATTTAATTAAAAACGACTTTTAACAAGTTTTAATCTTATTATACAAACAGTACTACGTATTATTATTAAAAGGATACATTTTAGAGTCACGGTGAACTAATTGTACTTCGTACAAATACATACCATACTTACATGCCTAGTTACATGGAAACCGCTATGCCTAATAAACGTGCGCCTTGGAAACGCTCGGCAACGATATTAATAATGAATGAACCGAAATCTAGAATTCTCCTGTGTACTTTTATACTCCGTATATAACACCCGACGGAACCCCTGCGCCAAACCAAGCCCAAACCCTAGGGTGTAGAAGCTTACCCCTAGCCGCCTAGAAGTACATCGGCTAAACAGAGACATCGCCGTCGCCAGAATATACGCACCTTTTCTTATGAAGACGGGAAGTGAGAGAGAGACACAGACAGCCACATCCGCCGATGTCATCCCGCTTGAAGTAGTGCACTTCCGAGTTTCACCGGAGAAGAAGAGTATCAAGTGTCGTCGGAGGAACAGTTTCACGCCCGAAATAAAGAATTCGTCGGCTATATATGCATATACATACTACATCACCGATGTTCTGTGCGGACCAGAGGAAGACGAACAGCTTGACCCACGTTAGAAGAGACGCGAGCGAAGCCGGGTCGTCACTCAAGTTTGAAGTGTCAGAGTTAAGGTACCGGGCGGCTATCTTCACACCAGAGAGGATCGCTGGAAGAAGAGCTGAGCGGAATTCTGCTGCTGGGTGACGCCGCTAGTTGCTGTTGATCGTCGGAGGGAACCTACGCTTGCCGGCTAACCCAGGCCAATCGACGAAGAAGATCAAAGAAGAAGATATACAGTACGTTTTCTCTTCTTCTTGTTGCGAACGTGCGTACTATTTTAGCATGTATTGGACCCGGGCTGTTTTACAACTAATGAATTGTAATGCTCAGATTAGTTAATAAGATGGCCTTAGGCCAAAATATTGGGTTGGCCGAACTGTTAATTAAAGGTAAAAATAATAATAATTTATGGACTATCATATAGATCGATAATTTGAGAAATAAAAGAATCATAAAAAGGGGAATTTATAAATAAAAGGGTAGAAGAATTTAACTATAAGTTGATATTGATATTAGAATTTTAACATTCTTAGAAGGTAGATTGGTGAGGAGCAAAGTAGAAGATTTCACTAGAGTATTCGGAGTTTGAGGTAAGTTTCTCTGCCGATCCAAAATTGTTTCCTCGTATTATATGATTATTATTACGTGTTATGTGATTTAAGTGTGAATTGTGAATTATGAGTATGTGATTTTGAGGAATATAAATTAAGAGTACTTTTTGGGGTATATTACCTTTGAGACTAATTAGAGAGATTGGGAAGTATTTTTGAAGTATATCTTAATTCAAGATAAAAGTAAAGATTTTATAAGAGGTGAGCACCGCGGGAGAAATCCGCGGTGTCGGTTTTCCACATCCGGATAAATGTGGAGGGTGATTAGGGTTGCTACTACTAAGAAGTAAAGTTTGAGTTTGAAGTAACATTTGGATCTATGATCCCTTTTAAGAAGAAGTTATAGTAGTAGCCCCTAATCATTCAGAGATATCTTATTCAGGGGTAGTTGGTAGACTGAGTCCCGATTACTCGTGACGACTTACTACTCGGAGGGCTTGGAATCCCTTTTTGGGGGTGTGCACACTTAAGGTAGTCGTTTCGTTTCCGCAAGAGCAGTTGTGGTACCGGCACTTGTTCGGGGTGGCCGTCCGTAACCACGGTCCACCGGGCTCAGTCGAAAGGTTGAGCACCGCCCTTCTAAATTACTAGGAAGTTAGAGAAGAAGTGATTTTTGAGATAATCAAAGAAGAAGAGAATTTTTATGGAGTGTGTTATTTTTATATAGTATTATATAAAAATCTATTTCAGCCAAACCTGATTATTTTACGGGGTTGGGTAGTACTTACTTAGCTCTAAAGCTAATTTTTGTTTTCTTTTCTTTGTTTTGTTTTCTGCACTTTATTTGTGCAGGTGATGATCCTTTGTCGATTGATGATTGCTTGATTCCCGAGAGCGGTTTAGAGATGCCTTAGACAAACTTAGTCAAGAATAAACATTTTAATTTACTTATGTTTTGAACACTAGTTTTAGTTTGTTTTGTCTGGGGTTAGCCTGTGCATTCGGTTAAGAGATGACCGGATGTGGCGGTAACACCCATTTCCCATTTAATATTATTTCCGCTGCAAAACTTTTTATCTGTTTTGATAGAATAAATCAAGTTTATTATCAATAAATCTATTATTTCAAGTACTATTTTGGAAGGGAAAATGGGGGTGTTACAGTCCCGCTCCGATGTCGATTCCATTCCGGTACCTCCATCCTCGTACCTTACCCCTTACCCCTACCCTACCCTACCTTACCCACCCAACCCAACCCCGCATACCCATTTTCCCCTATAATGACCCTACCCCACCCCGGCCCCCACCCCCATCCACCCTACCCTACCACCACCCCCCTACCACCTCGACCCCACCTTACCCTACCCCCCACCCGTATATTACACCTTACCACATGCCCCTACCTCGGCCCCACCCCACCGCCATCCTACCCCCACCCTCGTACCGCCATCCTACCCCCCCACCCTACCCTTCCCCTACCTAAGCCCCACCCAGATCCCGGGCCCACCCTACCGCCACCCCCCTACCACCTCGACCCCAACCCACCCTACCATACCCCCACCCGTATATTACCCCTTACCCCTTACCACTTGCCCCTACCTCGGCCCCACCCCACCGCCATCCTACCCCCACCCTACCCTTCCCCTATCTCGGCCCCACCCAGATCCCGGGCCCACCCTATCGCCATCCTATCCCACTACCCCTCCCTTACCCCAACCCTACCCACTACCCCCCACCCCTACCGCCATCCTACCCCCCACCCCTACCCCTTCCCTACCTCAGCCGAACCCTGGTCTCGACCCCACCCTGGTCCCCGGCCCCACCCTGCCGCCATCCTATCCCAACTCCATACCCTACCTCTACCTTACCCCAAACCCTACCCACTACCCCACCCTTAACCCTAACCACGACCCTAACCCACCAACTACCCCCACCCAACCCCCTACCCCTAGACCTTACCACCCCACCCCGACCATACCCCTTACCCCACCACCACCCACAACTTCCCTACCCGACCCCTACGAGTAGGTATGGGTGGGTATGAAGGGTTGTGGGGGAGTATGGGTAGAGTGTAAGATCGTGGTAAGGGTAGAGGTCTGGAATTGGAGAATGAGTGAAAAAATTGATGAACATGTTTTCAGATTTGAAAATGAAAAACTAAAAAATAGAAAGATAGAAAAACTGAAAAATAAAAACAGAAAATTGGAGAACAAAAAACAGAAGTAGAAAACAGGAAAATATCTCTGTTAGTAAACAGGCCCTAACCTTTGGTTCAGACAACAGCCTCTAATTCAAACATTAGCCTCCAGCTTCAGCTCATTGTGTCAAACATAGCCTAAATCTTGAATCAAACTTGACGATTTAAATCTGATTCAACTTTGGTTAATTTAGATCGGCTGGTATTGGTGACCTGGTGGTTCTTTTAACTTAAAAACAGAAACTTAGGGGTCTGTTTACTAACAGAAATATTTTCCAGTTTTCCAGAAAACTGGAATACAGAAAACAGGAAACGTGTTTACCAAAGAAATTCCTGGAAAACTGGAGAAAGGAAAAAAGAAAAAAGCGTTTACCAAATCGTTTTCCAAAACGGAAAAAATGAAACATGTCTCTCTTTTCCTTAATGATTTGGAGAAGTGACTTTTACTAGTTTTCCAAATTTGGAAAACGCAGATGCTACAGTGCCTTTGCAATGAATTTGCATACTTACACCTAGTGGTGGGTCCGGTCCCGCTCCGATGTCGATTCCATTCCGGTACCTCCATCCTCGTACCTTGCCCCTTACCCCTACCCTACTCACCCAACCCCCACCCCGCGTACCCATTTTTCCCTATAATGACCTTACCCCACCCCACCCCACCCCCACCACATGCCCCGACCTCGGCCCCACCCCGATCCACCCTCCCCTACCACCTCGACCCCACCTCGATCCACCCTACCCTACCGCTACCCCCCTAACCAGCTCAACCCTACCCCAACCCACCCTACCCTACCCCCACCCCTCATATATTACCACTTACCCCTACCTTACCCCTTACCACATGCCTCCTACCTCGGCCCCACCCCACCGCCATCCTACCCTCACCCTCGTACCGCCATCCTACCCCCACCCTACCCTACCTCGGCCCCACCCGGATCCCGGGCCCACCCTACCGCCATCCTATCCCAACTCCCTACCCTACCCCTACCTTACCCCAACCCCAAACCCTACCCACTACCCCCATCCTTACCGCCATCCTATCCCAACTCCCTACCCTACCCCTACCTTACCCCAACCCTACCCACTACCCCACCCTTAATCCTAACCACGACCCTAACCCACCCACTACCCCCACCCAACCCCTACCCCTAGACCTTACCACCCCACCCCGACCATACCCCAAACCCCACCCCCACCCATAACTTCCCTACCCCGACCCCTACGAGTAGGTATGGGTGGGTATGAAGGGTTGTGGTGGAGTATGGGTAGAGTGTAAGATCGTGGTAAGGGTAGAGGTAGGGGTCAAGGGTGTGGAATTGGAGAACTGTGTGAAAAAATTGATGAACATGTTTTCAAATTTGAAAATGGAAAACTAAAAAATAGAAACAGAAAATTGGAGATAGAAAAATTGAAAAATAAAAATAGAAAATTAGAGAACGAAAAACAGAAGTAGAAAACAGGAAAATACCTCTGTTAGTAAACATGCCCTAGTTGTTTCATACTTTCATTCGGTTGAGTGACTTGAGTCTGATTTTTCGATTTTTTGTTCACCTCTCTTGTTTACTTTTTTCTATTAAATCATATCAGGAAACATCTTTCTGATTAAGATGTATGTTTGAATTAAGTCATATTTATATATAAAACTGCTTATTTTGTATGCTAAATAAATAGTTTATATTGATAAAATAATCAACTTAGTATGGTAATTGAATTATAATGTCAATCAGAAGTTTCATTTATTAGTATAAATATATTCCATTATTGATTTAAAAAAAATGACAAAAAGACATCTTAATGGGAAAGACTATCATTCTTCAGCTTAAGTTAGACAGAAAAAGGTATGAACTTGAGTAGTAAAATTGACATAATAACGAATGCTAAAATTCAAATTTCCATCTCTTTTCACAAGTTCAAAAGTGATTATCTATAGTAAAGTATCTAATACTTGGTGAATGAGTATATAAAAAAATTAGTTGATGAACATGTCTAATGAGAATGGGTCATGTGTACATGGTGATTGGTGAGAGATTGATGAATGATTTATTAAAAAAAAAAAAAGGATGACACCCCATCCCTGAGGGCCCCCCACCACCGACCGGACGGCACGATGGGAGGATGTAAATTGGACTATAATCACAATCTGACAGATAGAGAGTGGGGCTCTGTCCCCGGTACTTGCAGAGACCATATGCATTTTTCAGCATAGTAACCCCTCATCGCAGTTGCCGGGATTCGAACCCGAGACCTAACCCTTGTGGCACTCCCTTGCTACCAGTTGAGCTACGCCCACCGGTGATGAATGATTTATTGATTGTACGTTTTACAATTGATTTCACTTCATAATAGAACGTCTGGATAACATATGTACAACATGACAACTAGCATGTTAGTATTGCTCCCTGACGTCAGCCCTAGAGTTATTTGAAAATATTGATTGACGATGTTGTCCCCAATATGTCCAAAGTCTTTGCGCTGAAATGACTAATTAATTAGGGATAATGTTCAAATTGGACGCTATGGTTTCATCAGAATCTCATATTTGACACTAAGGTTTTAAATGGACCAAATTAGACACTATGGTTTCATATGTATCTCATATTGGACACTAAAGTTTCATAATTCAATATAAGTGAGTGTCCAATTTGATCTTTATCCAATATAAGTGAGTGTCCAAAACCTATGAATTATGAAACTTTAGTGTCCAATATGAGATACATATAAAACCATAGTGTCTAATTTGATCCATTTGAAACCTTAGTGTCAAATATGAGATTCTGATGAAACCATAATGCCAAGTTCGACTCTTTTTAGCCTGGAAACTTGGAAAGCAGGCAACTCGGTTTGGGTATGATGAAGCTCAACTCATATATCATGAAGCTCAGCCCATATTCCACTTAGCTTGGATAGTGTTTTATCTTGAATAGTGCTTGGCTCGAGTATAGTGACCTCACATTCAGACGCAATCTCGAAGTTGAATACTTGATCTAAGGACGATCTTGGCTTTAGTTGTGAGCTCGGCCTTGGCCATAGTTTTGAAATTCTCTCACTAGGTTCAAGCTCGACCTTGGCCCGGCGGCAAGCCCAACCTCAGACGCTTGATGTTGGAATATACTCCCATTGGCGTGTATGTTGAAATTAATCTAGTAATGGCAAGAGATTGGATTAGATTAGAACAAGTAATTTTTATGTACTCATTTGATTGAGAGTCTGGGACTCTCTGAATTCGAAATTGTGGGTGTAAATATGGACCATATGGTCTTAAGTGATTATGAACGGTGCTTATGTACGGTCTGAGCAGGTCATGGAGGGAGAAAAATAAATAGAGTTTCAAATTTGATGAAGAAATGAAAATTTAGGACCAAAATTGACCAAATTAATAATGAGAGGTTAAATTGAATATTCATTTAATAGTCGAGAACTATTTGTGGTATTATCTCCAAACTTTGTAAACAAAGATTACATAAATTCTTTGGGGTGGGAGGATTGACTGGCTATAGGCAAATGAAAAAAAAAATCAAACATTATAGTTTAACAAAATATCTATACATTTTGCCAAAAATGCCAAAAAACAAAATGTAGACACCATCAATGTTAATAATAGAAGTAAGTTTTATCTTACACGTACATAAATTCTTGAAATTGTGTTGTACACATTTCTCACTTTTTAAACAAATATTAACGACACATCATTATATTCTTTAACGGTTTAACCTTAACCGTTCACCTCTCTCTAGGGTTACCGGCCGATAACCCTACGACTAGGACTGTCCGCCTTCGCTTTTGGAGTGCGAGTTTATTGGTTAGGAAAGCGGTGAGGGGTGGTGTCGACGGTTGGTTAGGAGAACGGTGGTCTCGGATTGGCAGTAGGGGCGGTGAAGCTGGTTATTTAAACAGGTTAGTCGGACGACATCAGGCGGTGTGGCTGGGCATCGGACTTAGAATTCCGGCGAAGCCTTCTATATCTCCATGGAGAATGTTGTCGATCGATATAAGCGGATGGCAATAGGAGGTGAAGAGGAAGAGATAAATCTTGACGAGGGAGAGACTGAAGACGTTCCAGTGGACGAAGCGGCGGTGGGCTTCCCGGTGCTCGGGCAAGTGCTGACTGACCACAAGGTCA